GAATTCTAATTTAAATTATATTTCCCTATAAAGGTATGCACTTTGAAAATAATAGTATTACAGTGGTGCATTGAAGCCAAACTCTGAACAGGAGGGCCGTTTCAAATATATAATATCCCACTCGGGAGGCAGGTGATGTGGGTCCCATAGACCTCTGCAGTAGCATCCCCCTGTCCCTCACCTCCTGGCAAATTATACAATAAAGCCTGGGGCCCTTTGCTTTGAGATTGGTCAGGAGGAGAATGTGACCAGAGCTCTGAAGCCTATGAGACCCACAGCGCCTGCTTCCCGAGTGGCCCAGAAGTACAACAGGAGCTGTAATAATCAGGTGAGTGAAGAAAGTTCTTTTGAGGACGTTGGAGGCAGCCTTGATGACCAGACCTGGTCTGTCTAATGCTGACTCTCCCCAACTCTCCTGTCTAATACTCACTACTAATTATATAGTTGAAACTGTCCTCTGGCCCAGAGTTTGACTTTAAAGGATAAATATATATTCATTTTCATAAAAAGCAACATAAATCCATTTTTGTGCATTGTAAAGAAAACGGTTGTCATTAGGGATGGATGTACCTGTAGGCACGTGCCTATAGGTGGCAGAGGAAAGGAGGTGGCTTTACCCTGCATAGGTACTGACTAAGTTTGTTTGTATCAGAACTAATTAACATCTTGTATAAGGTTATTTACACATTGGGGTTGGTTTACTAAAGGCAAATAGGCTGTTCACTTTGCAAGGGAACTTGCACATTGCAGGGGACGTTTACTTTAGCTTGGTTACGTTGGTGATATTTGACTTTGCAAAGAATATCCAATCATGCAAGGAAAAGAAAAAAAACTGTATGTTTGCTTGCACATGATTGGATGATGGAAGTCAGCAGAACCTCATTCACCGAGCTAAGTGGAAACTTCCCCTGCAAGCTGCAAATTCCCTTGCAAAGTGAACAGCATGTTTGCCTTTAGTAGATCAACCTTATTGTCACAATATTTTCAGCCAGCTCAGGACCTGGAAAACAGAATGTCAAAAGTTCTGTACCTACAGGCTCCAGTAATGAAAATACACTTTTGATTGTTGTAAAAGTATAGTGAAAATACAAGAAGTCCTCCATATTGTAACAGTGGTTAAATAGGGGAAATATTACACTAGGTATCTAGCAACAGACCCCTTGTACAACAGAAACCAAAGATATTCATCCCCCAATTCTCCCTGTATCTCCAACCTGATCCCTGTCCACACTGTCAAGAAAGGAATTCTTCCCTTCCTGCTCTTATCATTCAACCTCTGATAATAAAATAATTAACAGAGCTAAAATATGTCTATGATAGGAGACCCATAACGCTGCAGCAAGAGGACTTGCAACAACTGCAGCAAGGAGGTAAGAGAAGCCTGTTGGACAGCGTGATCAACACTTTGTAAATCTAGGTGGAAGGATGTTCCTTGTTCTCTTGGTTCTCTTGCATTGTGCTATAACAACAAACGAATGGAGATGCAAAACCTACAGAACGTTGATCGCTTTAATTAAATTGTCATTTAGAGTGGAATGATGTGGGTAAATCACCTTATGGAAAAAATAAGGGCCTAGTCCAAAAAAAATAAATGAAAATCTGTATTAAGGAAACTCTAGATGTTATGTATTGCAAATCATCAGGGATTATTTTTCATGTTATGTGCCAGAAATACATCTAATGTTATCAACTGCACACATTATTATTCCAAGCTGCATGCGATTAAATGTAAAGCTTTACTTTCCTTTTGGTTGGAGCATAATGCTGGAAAGAAGTTACATTATCCTTTATATTATAAACAATAAATTTTGCTAAGAAATAAATGGTGTCTTTGTCAACATTATAGCGTTCTCCACTGTCATATGCTTTGAATTCATCCAATTTAAAGTCAATGCATAGTGCTTATATATAGTACTGTTCAGTGTTAAAAACATATGTTTAAATTAGGTAAATGGGAAATGTTATAAATATTTTATATTCACCAACTGCAGCTAACAGAAGATCTCTCAGATCAAAAGCTCTAAACAAGATCAACAGCTTTTTCATAGTTTTTTTCCCCCACTCCTATACTATAAAACAAAATGCAGGAAATATCAGATTATGCATAATGCTGTATAGATATGAGGAGAGGTATATACCTTTTCCTTTAACCTAGCAAAAAAAAGAACAATTCTGTTTAGTCATTTATACAATGACTCCTAACCAGCATGCAGATATTGCTGGAGTTTCTTAGTAGAAAGCCCAGCATAATAAGAAAACTGAATGTCATGCACTCTGTATACAAGGTAAATAAAAAAATACAATTACTTAAAATATTTCAAAAAGTTGTAAACATAAAAAAAAATGGAGTTGACCAAAACCCATTATATTCCTCTTAAAAGGCAGTACATACTGGCACTTTGAAGGAAGCTTCAACATTCACTAACAGGGCTATTCACAAAAGGGTGAAGAGTTTGGAGAAGGCAAACTGGAACGGGAGCTGAATTGGAGAATTATTCCAAATCAGCTATTTTGGCCTAGATTGTTCACTTCTTCTGCTTTCCCCAAACCCTTCACTCTTTAGTGAATAGACCTGTTAAAAATCAACCAGTTATTGGTGGGATCCTTGCTACATTGGCTAGTAATAGTGCTGTAATATTAACCTTCACCTACAAATAACATAATAGTTTTGGTATCAGCCTTCTTTAAATTACTTCCTTTTAAATCCCAGTAATGTGTATTAGCTCCTACGGACTTGGTTAACATTTAGAGTGCACTTTCCATAAAGTGTACATAGGAGGTTTATCCTTCTCTATCTGCCATTACCATCAGTCAGGCATTCACAGTTTCAAAGACGAGAGTCTTTTGAAAAATAAGACCCAGTGATTTTGAAGATAAGTAATAATAGCCTTATAATAATAGGACGTGCTTCTTCCTGGAGTTTGGGCATTGACAGAGAACAAAGGGCATATTCTACATAACAGCACAGTAAAACATTTGTCTTTTTAGCTGCCTGTAAAACTGCATTTGAAAGTTTCAACTGATCTAACCAGTAATAAACTGGCATTTAAATGAAAAATATAATTGATATTTTTGCAATGAAGCTTTTTTAAAATTTATTTTCTTTCTTTGCAAATTGAAGACATTCAATGAAGCGCGGGTCAGTTAAGCTTTTTTTTTTAAAAAAGAGAGACTGGCAATGAAATTTGCAAAATAGTATTTAACTACTTCAGCGCTTGTACCTTTCCTATATAGGCCTATTTGTTTAACGATAACTTTGTCATTATTTAAGATAACAAAGTAAAGCATACATTGTTTTTGGGGAGGGGGGTGGTTGCTTTTTTTTGGCAATATTGTTTTGCAATTTTATTTTCTATGGAATCTGTAGATAAAAATATAAGAGAATTGAAAAACATTTGGTTTTTATTCCTGTTTTGACCAGTATTTAAAATAAAATTAGTTTTACTATAAATAAAATCTCATTCTATAATTTGTACTGTTTAATATAATACTAAAATTAGGTTTCTGGCAGAAAGCATGACAAAGTTGGTTTTTAAATGTTGCACATTTTCTTGTTCTGCAACACTGAAAAATAGTAAACAAACAAAACGAAATCAAATAAAAACGGTAAAAAAAAAGAATTGCACAAAGGAAAAAGCCCAAAAATAATTGCTAAGGGGAAAAAGTGGAAGAAGGAGTTCATTAGGTTTAACCTCCCTGGCGGTATTCCCGAGTCTGGCTCGGGGATAAGGGTTAATAAGGGGTTAAATAGGGATACATTTATTTAAAGTACTTTTTTAATTTTGTAGGGTTTCCTTAAATGACGTGATTGTATTTACTATTTCATTTCAAAGGTCACACCTTTGATCTTGATGTGGATGAAATAGTAAATAGAATAAAATAATACACTGATTTATCATATTTACTCAAAGACACTTGCAGACTACCTGCAAGTGTCATTTTACACGGGAATTGGCTGCATTTTGACAGCCACTCTTGCTGTGTAATATAAAGCAATTATGGGCTCTTTTTGAGAGCTGCTAACTGCCAGTGATAGCGCCAGTAGGGGAAGAGGAGCTGGACTCCTCTTCTGTGCTAAACACTTTTGTTGAAGTTTTTCAGTACATATTACTTATTTAACACTATCAATACACTAATTTGTGCTTTCATTGTTGGTGTTCATCATTTAATTACAATATAGATAACACAATAGGGGAAACCCAACAACTATGCACTTGGATAGGACACAGCTGCCTTATAACCATTTTGAACATTTGATATACATGTTGCTTAAACTCAACTCTAGCCAAAGCTTTTTTTTTTTGTTAGAAAGAGTGTGGATGGAGAGATCTGCAGTCAAGCCTTCACTGCTCTTGTGTCCCCAAATGGAGATTCCCCCCATTCCCCTCATGTCCTGTGGTGGAGACACAGAATGCTCCCTAGTGAGCACACAGACAGCAAAAACTTGTCATAGATTCTAACCCTTCTGTACAAATACAAAACTACACATGAAGTCGGGCTTAACTTTCACAGACATTTCACTCCTATGGCTTGTTTTTTTTTGGCAGCTGCAAAATACTGAGGTTAATCATATTGGAGTAAGGCTATCTCTGAAAGCTACTGTACATTCAAAGCACGTTGTTAGGTTTCACAAAAATTGCATTGTCAACAAAAATATAATCAGAAGCTTTCCTTGCTCAGTAGAAAAGTTGTATATTTCCACCATTGCTCTGCATTTCATATTATACTTGCCGTTACACCTTTCTGTGGCACATACACTGTAGTGCCTCAATTTTAGTGCACATATATGCCAATGAAATAAAACCTAAAAGCTGTGTACATTCTTGTATTCCTTTGCAACAACAATGTTCGCAATAAATAGATCATTGGTGATAATTTTTTTTACAATAAATTAACTGGTTTCTTTAAGCTACCAGGTAGATTTTAAACTTCCACATCATCTTGAAACTTCATTAAAATAGACCTTCATTTCAACCACACGCATCCTTTGTTCTCCATCTTATTGAACACTCGTGTTCACGCTTTGTCATATATACTTGGGATAGAATAGTAATAAATACGGTGTATTTTGAAAGTGTCAAGATTTCTTCACACTGGATTTCTGCTTCTGTTTGCGCAGATGCGCTTCAATCTCATGTCTGAAGACCAGCATTCCAAGCTGTCCATGAGAAGCCTCATTCATGGCCTTCGACTGCATACACATTTTGTATTGCTCTGAAGTCAGCTCATCCACACAGCGCTTCTCGTGCCAGAGGTGGAAAAGACCTCTAACAGGCGTCCTGATCACAATGAGGTTGCTATGAAGGTATTTGCGGTATAGGTGAACATCTTCACCTCCCCAACCCTTGATGTCTAAATCAAAACCACCTGCAAAAAAAAAAAAATTATTATTATACTAATAATTTGTATTTTCATTATTTTATATTCTAATTTACAACCCCTTAAAGGACAAGTTTAGTTTGAATAAAATCTTTTTCTAGAGATTTGTGTTGTGTGGATTTTTGCTTGTGCTGGGGTAGCTTTTGCTGGATATGGGATTTTTACTTGGTGGAGAATGAGATATTTGTTCTGGTGTGGCTGGGTCTTCACTGACCGCCAATGTCTCTAAAGAAGGAAAGTGGGGTTAATTTATTGACCACTAGTGCCTTGGAAGGGGGATTCTTCCTCCCATTGATGCAGATACTGGGAGGGGGATTCTTCCTCTCACTAGCATTAACGATGGGGAATTCTTTGACACTGACCTTCCACATTCCCTTCCAGACCTTTGTGTTTTTTCCATCCATTGATTGCAAATGACATGGCATTTTTTGCCTTCCGCTGACCAGCAGGCAAGACTAGATGACCTTTGTACTTTGTGTTCTGTGCTGTGTGTTCTACTCCTGATTCATGCATGCTATAAGCTACATTACATACTATAATGCATGCTATAAGCTACATTACATACTACTGACTGCTGCATATGCTGTGATTTATATTATATAATGTTATACAATTCTGACTGCTGCACTCTGCAAGCTGTAGTGTACCTTGCATACTCCTGACCACAGTGTTTATTGTCTCAACAGGTACTGGTTGCGATGTAGTTACAAACTATTTTAATGAAGTTCCTCTTTAAGGTAGGATCAGACAAAGGGGTCTATTCACAAAGCTGCCGAGGGCAGCCGAGTGAATGACCGATCAGAAGTGAAGTGAGCCGAACAATGTTACTATCTGGCATGTGTAATGGAAAAGTTTAATTTACAAATTATGTGCCTCTGTAATTAAGGAGTATTTTGGGAATACAAGGAACGTGCTTTACATTTGTGGTGTAATACTGAGTGTAGACCCTATTAAGCCTCACCCAATATTCAGCCTAATATAATGCCTTTTCACCCTCTATGAACTGCATGTCCCCTTCTCCATCAAGTGTCCCTCTTTTTCAAGTTCTAAAGTTGGGAGGTATGTATTTGGTCATGTGATATTTGCTGTAATGGTGCTTTACCCAACCTAAACACTAATTCTCATTTTTAACAGAAATCACATAACCAAATGCCAAGAATTTTGGTTACATATCCAGCAATGGATGATGCCTGCGACAGCATTTTCTCTAGAAAAAGAAAGCATTCCAGTCTGTGTATTACTCAATATGTGCCCCAGTAAGATTTATACAATATACAGTAGTATAATTATTAATACTAGCAGGTGACCGTAGTGAGCAATGCTTTCATCTTACCTATATTAATGAAATCTGAACGATACTGACAAGTCATTCCAAACCCAAAGTCTCGCCAAAATCCAGTATCCTTTTTAATGACCTAGAAAATACAAAAAAGTAAGATCAACTTTGATATATTAGAATACTAATTTAGATAAATAAATAGTACTTCTAATAATACACTTTGTCAAAACAGGGTTACCACTGTCTAGTATTTTGCAAACCTGGCCAGTAGAAACCTGTATGTGTCTTTTAATGGTATTAACAACATAAAGGTTAGATAGGAAACGCGTTACATATTCTAAATAAAACGAGGAACTTCTTCTTCTGTACATCTTGTACATAAAAGATGAATGCAGCTGGCATGCCAATAGTTAAAACATAAGGACAGCAGTTCTATCAGTACTGAAACAAAGCCTGCCAGGACACGCCTGGGAATTACTGGCAATGTCAAACGGGTGGTACTGGCTGCTAAACCAATTACAGCAGAGCCGCCTCAAGAAGGGAAGCGACGTTCTCATGCAGGAAATATAATCTAATAATCAGGAAATCATAAGTCAGGTCACCAAATGTAATTAATAGAAAAGACCTAATGTGGATCATGTTTGCCAAGCCTGAATGATGAGGAATGACTTGCTAAATTTAAATTCCATAAAGACCACAAATAAAAACTCTATCAAAATATATGCTGGGTTTGATCGTGTTAGGAAAAATCACATTTTTTTTCTCCATATCTTTACTTTGAGCACAAATTACATTTCACCACATTCAAAGATTTTGCAACTCCCTAAGGCCTCATTCACACACAATGCAAGAGCAAAATTGTATATTGCGTATATGCGCGTATTTATACGCGTATATGCGTATATGTGTGCACTATATGCAATCTCAGAATGCATCACTCGTAATGGAATTTTTTATGTACTGTACGCATGTACGTGCATATATACGCATAAACACGCGTATGTGCGCGTAAATACGCAGCAATACGCTGCCCGGGCGCATCCCTATGCAAATATATACGGCTTCATACGCGGCTATGTGTATGGAGCCATTTATTTGCATGTGTTGCATATTGTACAATACGCGCGTGAATGAGGCCTAAAGGCTTTTCTATTAATTGTTCCTATAATGTTCCAGTATATATGGACAGGCTGATACATAATCCATTCCTTCTGTATATGTTTAGATGACTATTTCAAGTGTTTGTATTGAGCCACTTTTTCTGCATTATCATGTCTGTGGAAAACTATATACATACATATTTGAACCTATGTGCAACACATTGTGTTTTCAGATCATTTATTTCATTTGCCAATGACTCCTAGGGTACTTTAAAAGTTCACCTGTATAACATTTTCTATCTATATTTGCTGTGCATTCTTTTTATTTATTTCATTACCTTTCTTTCCACTTATGACAGTTATTGACTTTGATGTGTGTATCTCGCTCACCCTTTTTTGTATATATTGCTGGCTGCCAGGGGTGATCTACTAACACATGATGATGCTCTAATGGTGTCACTAAAGTACTGGGGGACTACCCAAAACTTTTTTTGAAAATGCTATTTATAAATTTTCCAATAGGCACATACATTTACAAACATCACCCACCAAAGTAGGGGCACATACTTAATACAACAATTATACATAACGTTTCCACAACCAAAACCCCCCTCCTCCACCAACACCCCTCTCCTCCCCAGATGCACATGCCAGATCAAGTCTCAAGGTTGCAAACTATCCTAACTGAAGACGGCTCAGTATCCTAATGCAAGAGTACACTGTCATCTCCTACCGCCCCCACAAGGAAGAGGTACGGCGTTGCGCAGAGATGAAAAGAGACAAGCAACACCAGGAGATGACAGTGCAGCAGTATAGAACGGCACAATATCCATGCAGGTTAGCATTGACACAAACATTTTTTAAGACCGGAGGTCAACTTCCACACACCAAGGGGTATCCTAAAGCAGTACTACTCGGTGTTCTACCATCATCAAGCTAAGGCCGTCCAGTGTCCCAAAACCCTATCAAACTTCTTCGGGCATCCCCTACTGATGTAAGCTGCTTTATACAGATCTATAGAGGCGTCCACAATACCCCTCCACTCCGCCAGAGAGTGCAGCACTACCATTTTCCTAGCATAGAACAACAGCACCCCAATCAGTGTACGTAGGGCAGTGATAGGAGCAGCCTGTTCAGTGAGCCCCAGCAAGCACATAGAGATGGTCAACGGGATGGGGAGTGCCATTACCTGCGATATGAAGTCTGTGACTGATTTCCAGTACCCCATAATCCCCGGACAGTCCCAGAAAATGTGCCTGAAATCTGCTGGCTGTGCCGAGCAGCGCCAGCAGGAGAAGGAATTATGCCTGTATATCCTTGCCAGCCATGCAGGCGTGTAATATACTCTATGCAGGATTTTGAATTGAATGAGACGTCCCGAACCGACACCAAGTGGGAGAAGGGGTAATCCCACTCCTCCCAGGCATCATCCGAGAGGTCCGGCACATCCACCACCCACTTCAGTCTGCAAGGGAGTTTATGGACACCTGCCGTATCTGACAGGGCCTGGTACACCAGTGATAAAGGCTTTTTTAGACCCTCCCGCTGAAGGAGGGATTCCCAGGGCGAGACGGTAAGAGGCGGACTACCCAAAACTTAGGGGTCTATTCACGAAGCTGCCGAAGGATCTAGCCGTAGCTTCGGCTGATCTTTCGGCTAGCTTCGGTCCCATTACCCCTTTGGTTCAGTAGAACCGAAGGGGTGCTGTATGGGCTATTCACAATAGCCCGTACAGCTCCCGAACGTGGCCGAGTGGCTCAGTCGAGCCGAACGCATATGCCTTGGCTCGGCTGAGCCGTGCTGAAAGCTGAAGTTGGCCGATCGACCGGCCAATGGCCGGCCGACAGCCTGCTTCTAACAGCTGGGCGGAGCCAGCCTTGATCTTACGGCTGGCTCTGGCCACTTGCAGAGAGATCAGCGTCCCTGGTTACCTGCTAACCAGGGACACTGATCTCCAAACAGCAAACTCTCCATGGCGCTCCGGGAGTCTCCCACTCCCGGCCGCCAAGGAGAGAAACACTGCTGTTTCTTTTTTTTTTTTTATTCTGACACGGAGCCGTGTAAGAATAGAAAAAAAAATAAAAAACATTTTCCTATTGGAATGCATTGCTAGATTCCTATTGGCTATTTCAATTTGCAATAGCCAATAGTAAACTAGCATTGTACCCGCCCTCTGCTGCAGTTCTCCATCAGGTCCATGAGCAGGGGGCGGGTACAATGCTAGTTTACTACTGGCTATTGCAAATTGAAATATCCAATAGCAATCTAGCAATGCATTCCGATGGGCAAAACTTTTTTCTTTTTTTTTTCTATTCTGACACGGCTCCGTGTCAGAATAAAGAAAAAAAAATATGAAGCAGTGTCTCTCTCCTGGGCAGGCGGGAGCGGGAGGCTCCCAGAGCGCCCGGGAGAGTTCTTATTTTTTTCTTTTTTTTTTGACGGCAGCAGAACCGCCGGACAATAGAAAACTGTTGGGCGGAGCTAGCTGTCATTGCTAGCTCCGCACAATCGTTTTCTATTTACTTTTTTAACTATTTTTCTGTTCTGCTCGGTCCCTCTGAGGGACCAGGCAGAACAGCCGAGCCGAATGCCGCCCAGTGGCATTCGGCTATTCACTCACTGCTGTTCGGCATCTATAAGAATAGACCGAACAGCAGTGATTATCCTGCCGGAGGTTCGGCTCAGCCAATCCAGATGTTGGATTGGCTGAGTCGAACTCCTTCTGCACTTCGGGTCAGCCGAACATGCTGTGTCCCAACTGTAAAATTCTCTCAACTCTACAATTATAGATTTCCTTTCACTTTCTGTCCCCCAGAGAAAATAATCGCCAGGGCAGAAGGCACGTTTGGCTCTAGTGGAAAAAACGTTTTCGCTGGAGTTAATACTTACAGCTACAGAAAGTAAGAGTCATTGGGGTCAATTCACAAAGAGAAACGTTATTTGCTTTCTCTAGTTTTTAATTTACCTCTCCGTATTTTTCGCTTGAAAACATGGTATTCAAGAAAGTCCCAATCATTATTTAGCATGCTCATTAAGGCTTTTGACTGAAACGTTAGGGAGTTGTTCTTTTAGCAACAGAAGCGTAATTTGTAGCCTTCAACAGTTAATTTTACATCTTGAATCGTAGAATTAACGTTTATGGTGTTCAAAAAAATATTTGATTGATGCGTTCTGGGACCAGAAGGGGAGGAGAACAGAGCCTACAAATGACGTTTTTCAACAGACTGCACTGTTGTATGTAAACAACTTTATTAAAACTGGTGAAGTTTACATGTTAAAACGTTTATGAATTACAACCGCACGGCAAAAAAAAAAAGAAGAAAAATAATAACATAATAATGTAATAACACTAATATATAATATTAAAATCTAATAAAGCATAGGCAAACGGTTCCATCTTCCAAAAACTGCAAAAAAGAGGCTTCACTACCAGAAGTTATCAATTCACCTCAAAATCTCCCTCTCAGAGCAGAAAATACTGCCCGAAAACTGTCATAACAACACTCTGAACGAGGTGCTTATATGATAATTGTCTAACAGTCGATAAATGGCCAAAAATCTTTACACTTCTGTACATATTTAACAATTAGGCTTGTTAAAAAAAAAAAGGATTGAAACATTAAATAGTGAGTTACACAATAAAATATCACTTCTGCAAACACAGATGTTAATGGGTAGAGATTCCAAGCTTTAAATCATTTGGTGAATTGAACAAACCTAAATAAAAAAGTTTGCGAATTGACACCTTTAAAATGTCTCTCTGCTATGGAAACCCCACTGTCTTCATCAAGAAAGTTTTTTTTAATAGTGACTAAGGCTGCATCTGCAAATGGCTGGGCCCAAAAGCAAAGTTCATCTACATTTCAATTTAAAGTTATGCCATTATAACAACTCTCAGCAACTCATAACTCTAAGCTTGATGTAATTTCATATTATAGAATCAGAAACGTAGATGCAAGCTGACAATTTGTCAGTTCTGACATTTTCCAGGAAGGTGTTCTGAGCTCCAGTTGGCAGTAAGTTACAATAACACAAG